ATTGTTTTGTAGTGTGTTTTTCATTTTTCAATACCAAATATCATTTTAGAGGATGCATACGTTTCTCCCCGATCGTTGGGTGGGCTGTGCGCTTAATAAACTCGGGCAAAAGGCTAAGTTGGCGCTAACTGCTTTACGAGGGTTAGCATGATGGGCTTCTTAAGTACCATTTAAAGAGAGTTTAGTTATTTGTTTTTTTACATTTGACATAAGATTTTAATTATAACGTCCTGGTGGGATGACAGGGGGTTATTAAGTTCTTGACTTAATGAGAGGGGGGGGGGGTGGGGGCTCAGTACCTTCCAGAGAGCGGAAGAGACCGCCCGCCCCCCGCGGGCTGTCATCCCGGCCATGGCTGAGCTGAGCCAGAAGAAGCTGTGGGGAGAAGCGGAGGCGTATCAGAGCCGCAGAAGGACTTGAGTATGTCCATGCCAGAGAGGCAGAAGCTGGAAGCCCGACGAACAGAAACTGCTGTTGTGAAGGGGGAACTGGCTCTGCAGGAGGGATCCAATCTGGTCTTGAAACTTCTTCTGTTTTTTTTTTTTTTCTTTCTTTTTTTCAACATCTATTTATTTATCTGAGAGGCAGAGTTATAGACAGAGAAAAGAGAAGATAAGATATTCCATTCACTGGTTCACTCCCCAAATGGCCCTAACAGCCAGAGCTGAGCCCATTTGAAGCCAGGAACTTCCTCCAGGTCTCCCACATGGGTGCAGGGGCCCATCTTCTGGTGCTTTCCCAGGGCATTAGCAGGGAGCTGGATTGGAAGTGGAGCAGTCAGGACTCAAACCATATGGGATGCCAGCATTGCAGGCAGAGGCTTAACCTATTATGCCACGGGCCCAGCCCCTAGTCTTTGAACGTTTGGGTCCAGTGCTGGTTAAGCAGAAGCTGGGGGAGTTTCGGGCCACAGTGGGGAAGAGGCTGGACTGTGTCACAGCTGAAATCAAGCAATACGAATCTCAGCTCTGGGACCTTGAATGGCTGTCAGAGCAACAGAGGGAGAGCCTTGCTCTGTGGCAGCAGGAGTTCCAGAGGGCCCAGGCGGCCCGGGCAGAGGCTCCTAGGAAGGTCTGATCTCATGGGGGAGGGGGGTGACGGGGCAACTGGGGCCCGACCTCATGGTGGTGGTGGGGGGAGAGGGTCTGTACTATAGTAGCTAATAAAATGTAAAAGCGCCAGAAAAAAGATCAACAGATATTTCCTTCCTTTCTCTCTC